ATATTAAATGATAAGATCAATATAGTAGATCTCATATCCACACATTTAATTGACCGTAACATTTCACCCCACAATATCGGCCACATCACATGGAGGATCCCCAATTTGTACATATAGCATCATTCTGGGAATGCACAGTACTTAAAAACTCTTATTATGAATATGAGCACATGGAAAATAGGGGCATTTCTCCTCCAACAGCAATAATACTCCGTAACTAAGAACTACTTTGCAGTAGTATATAGTATGTTTGATGACTGAGCTCCCAAATATGGTAAGCTAGTGGCGTTCTTCCAGCTTTAAAATCAATCGTTCCTTTTTTTCAGCTAACATTATCTCTGCTTTATGTCACCATTTTAGAACTTCGAGTTAACAGCACAAAAGAAATCTTTCTTTAATTTTCTAGCGATATGAAGTCATGGCAAAACCAACACAATTCCTTGGATCCAACATTCCTATTCATCGAGTCCATCCAATCTATTTCCAGAACCCCTGCTTCTCAATCAATCAACACTCCAATAGAAGAAAACCCTTTATTTCATGAGAAATGAGAAATGCTTACAGCAGCCAAGTACAGCACAAAAGATATCTTCTTCACCAATTTATTGCTTCAACTTTCACCAATTCCTTGTTCGTCTTATATCATTATAATCCTAATATTCCCACATTGTTTCAGCCTCTTAAATTGATTAAACCAGGCCTCATATTCTCAATTTTAGATGGTCCAGAATTTGACTTTGGCATTAACTTGGCAAGACTGAGTGTCACATTTGTCCCCAATCATATTTTACACTTGCTATAATTTGCTCTTCTTTAAGAAACTATCAGGAGAGGAAAGATTGGCTTTTGTAAGGCATCGTATCCAGTGACACAATCTCAAACAATTAGGTGTTCCCAAAATAGCCAATGTGCAGAACCAGACAGTAAACCCACACTGTCCTAGTTGCAGAATTAGACATCGGACACTTCAGCTGGCATTGCACCAACTCAATAGAATTTCAGCCCTACTTATTTTAGTTAGTAACAATGGCCATATTATACAATTTTGTTCGGATAACTAACACTTGGGCTAATCACAATTTTCCCCCCCTTTTCAATTGATTATTTATGTTGCTTTTGGTCTATTTATTCTAATCAAGATAGAAGATAGCACACAGCTTCTGATGTTTCCAATAATGGAATCTATGGTAAATGGGTGGATGGATTATTACTTCTACAAACTTTAAACGAAACGTGGCACTAAAATCCTGAAGGGACATAAAAATGGTCGTTCAGATAGTATGTAAGCAGGAAAGGCACAGAAAATAAGAGTCAACAATTTATTCACAAGAATCACCTATAAAGCGGTTGATTTTGTCTGTATTCAGACAATAACGTGGGAAGAATTTAGTTCACATTTTTTTATCTAGGAATTACTCATCTTTCTTAAAATAACTGAACAAAACCAAAAGGTTCACGTTCAGTTTAAAGAGCACAATTGAGACCTGAGTCAAAAACGATCAGTCAGTTGTAGTAATTGTGTTTAAGGCCTCTACTTCCCATTAGAATAAAATAAATGCACAATCACTGTATCACTCATGGCGTGCTTCTCAAATCTCTCTCATTAGAATCCCGTTCCAACAAATGGTGAAAGATTGTCCACCCAAATTTGGAAATATTTAATTGGAGAAAAATAATCAGTATGGAGATTTAACATATCTGATCCTGCTATAACATATAGCTGAAGAAGTGACCTAGAGCATATTGCAATTATGTATAATAGTTATACGCAAAATGCTCGTGAAATTTCCAATTATAGATAATATTCATTGTGTGTGTACTTGACTCACATAAAGAATAACATGCTGCATGTAAAAGCTTAAAATCAAAGAAGAAAATATGCCTTAAAACACAAGATCGAGTTCAGTTACAAACCCTACCCTGGTGTAAAGCTCTAGATGTTTCAGTCAAATTTACCAAAGTACCACAAAGTCGTGCTTCAGCAGCTGTTAAGACTTAAGATCCATTTTAATAAGGTCAACCTTATTAAGAGAAGTAGCCCAAATTTTTTTTAAATTGGTTAATATTTCGGTATTTAATCTATGTGGGATTTTTATCCAGCTCTCGCAAGATGGTGACTTGTTTGAGCAGATCAATCTTAAAATCCATGTGCTCATTTTTAGAGTTTTAATCGGATCGAATTACTCGTTGGAACTTAATAGGCTCTGATACCATATTAAGACTTGGGGTACATCTTAATAAGGTCAACATTGTTAAGAGAAGTAGCCCAAAATCTTTTTAAATTAATCAATATTTCGATATTTAACCGATGTGAGATTTTTATCCCTTAACAGCAGCTAAGGATCTAACCAATTCCTCTAAACATCTCAACTCCTCACGAAACTCTGAATGCAAAACCAAAGAAGAGATGCTCGTCCACAACCAATCCAAGACATTTCACAACGTTTTCAAGATTCCGAGATGCCAACCGACGT